AAGGAAGTAATGGAAGTTATATTAATAAATAGATTTAATTGTGTTTTATGCATCTAATATGATAATAGTTTAGAATGTTGAGACAGGATAATAATAATTTATACCTGGAAGATATAAAAATGTGACTGCAATAGCTGCTGCAAATAGAAAAGATGGTTTGATGATAGCAGTAGGAGAAAATTTAGAATAATCATCTAACTTAGTTATTATTATAAAAGATAAAATTAGAACTATCTCATTATAATCTAAAGGTGCTATTACTTTGATTTAATTAAATGTAGAAAAATAATATTGTGGATTACAAATATAAAATTAAATATAAATTTGGAATTATGAAAAAGAAAGATTATTAGCATCAGCATTTGTTAAAGCACCTTTTGATAAATTTAGTTTTCATCCTTTGAAACATAAACATATTTTATTATCTGGTCATAATTATTTAAGATTATGGGAAATGTAATTTTAAGAAAAATAAATTAAAGAAACACATGAAACACTTATTCCTTTAAAAATAGAAAAAGAAAATAAATTCCTAGATCATGGTTGGGTAATGTTATCTGCTAATTAAGCTTTATTAGTATTATTAGCTGCTGGAAATAAAATACTTATTTTAATTAATGATCATTTTAAAAAACCTATAGATATTGATCCTTAAAATTTAAATTTTATTGATGCACCAGTATAAGATTTTAATGCAGAAGATAATGATGATGTAATGGGAATTAATTCAGCATTAGAAGATGTTATTAAAGATAAAGTTGGATAAATTGTTATGAATAATTAAACTAAATTAACTTAAAATACTACAATTATGACTTAATAATAATTAGAATTTTAATGTTTATCAACTACAAAAAAAGGATTTATATTAGGAGGTACTAAAGGAGCTGTTTGTATTTATGAATTTGATAAAAATTATAATATAGTAAGTGCTATGTCTTTTAATATGAAAAGTAATAGAGGTGAACATAAAGTTATTCAAATATCTAATAGTGGAGATCAATTAATTTCTATTATTAGTTTATTTGGAAATCAACTCTATTATAGTATTCTTAATACAGCATAAATGGATACTGAAATTAGTCCTATTTAACCATTCTTTGCTGCTGGATTCCATAATAAAAGAGTCAATTCAATATCACATGCTAAAATTAAATAAGTATTCGTTACATGTTCTGAAGATAATTCTGTTAAAATTTGGAATTATTATTAAAACGAAAATAATGATAAAAAAGGAGTTTTAAGTAAATATTTTAAAGAAGAACCTGTTTGTGCATCTATGCATCCATTTGGTTTATTTGTTGCTGTTGGATTTACTAATGGATTCAAAGTTTTTGCAATATTAAATGAAGGCTTCTTTCCTCTTAAAGATGTTACTTTAAATAATTGCAAAATTGTTAAATATAGTCATGGAGGTCATATGCTTATTACTAATGAAAAAACTAATGTTTATATATATGATGCTATTTATTATGAACTCATTCATCAATTTGAATTTCATAATTCACCTATTAAAGATATTGCTATTTCACTTAATGATCAATATATTGTTAGTACTTGTACTAATGGTTATGTTTATTGTTATAATCTTGCTGAATTAAATAATAATGTAGTTAGGGAATAAAAACATTAGGAATAAGGAATTTTCAATTCAATTTAATATGATGAATATTTCATTGGTTGTACAAATGAAAAATTAATGACTATTTTTGATAAACATTTTAAATTAATTACTGAATTTCATGTAACTGATTGTTTCTTAACAAAATTATTAATGACTGATTAACATATCATTGCTGGTACATCTAAAGGAACTGTTAGAATATATCCTATAAGAGATGAAGATAATTTAGAATTAGAATTAATTAATTAAAAAAATGAAACAATGTATAAAATACCTGAATGTTATGAAATTTCAGTTCATGCTACTGCTATTACATGTATTGATTTTGATGGTTAATATATATTTACAGGATGTGAAGATGGTTCAGTTTGTTTATTAAAATCTAAAAGTGAAATTTCAGAAGAACGTTAAAGAATGGCTGCTGTATCAAATGATCTCTATCTTGAAGTCATTTTTAAAATATAAAAAGAAAATGATAGAATTTAATCTAAAAATTTTGAAGTCATAAAATCTGAATAAACTGTAAGAATTGAAACTGCAAAATTAGAAACTTAATTTAAATAGAAAATAGATCAAATGACAAAAAAGTTTTAATAAACAATGTCAGATGATAAAAATTTAATGGATAAATTTGTTGAGAAATCAGAATTTGATTATACTTAATTACTTAGCTAATATAATGAAGAAAAAGATAAATATGAAAATGAAATTAATAAACTTAAATAATAACATATTGAAAAAATTGAATATGAAGAATCTAGAAATCAAGAAATTGAAGATGAAATAAAAAAAGTCTAAGAAGAACATAAAGAGGATTTACAATCTTTATTAGAATAACATAAATAGGAATTAAAATAAATGAAATTACAATTCTATGAGAAATGTAGAAAAGTATAAGTAAAATATTCTAGTGTTGTTGATAATGCTAAAAATTATGGAACAGCTTTTATTTAAAGATTAGAAAAAGAGGAAGCAGAATATGAAAAGGAGATTGATGAATAAATAAAAGATTTAGAAAATCAAATAGCAAAAGTTATTTAGGATAATGAAAAATTAGAAAAAGAAAATGGAGAATTAGCAAAATAATTTGAATAATTAAAAAAAGATGATGATGATCTTCAAATACAATTTAATACTTCATTTGATCTTCATAATAAAATAAGACTTGAAAATCTAAAAAATGATGATGATATCTTAAAAATGTAACATTAATTACTTGAAAGATTATAAGTTATTGATTCTAAAGAAGAAACATGCAAAGCTGCTAAAGATGAATAAATCAATTTAGAAAATTTTAGATATATGTTAGATTAAAAAATAAAAAGTTTATAAAATGATAAATAATTATTACTTGACAAAATTACTGATAAAGAAGTAAGATATTTTATATTTTTTAATAGTATAAATTAAGAGTAATGTTCAAAGAATTAATTGATGAATCTAATAAAAATGAAATGAAGTATTAACAATTAGTTTAATTACGAGGACAATTAGAAGTAATTGAAACTTAAATTAAAAAAACAGAAATCTAAATATTTTTAAATGCGAATAAATTAAAAAATTATGAAAGTGTAAGTAAATTAATAATATTCATTATAGACTTTATTATCTATCATGAAAAGTAATGATCCTCCAAGTTTAATTGCTTAGAAGTTAAGACAAATTATTGATGATAAGGGAGAAGAGAATGAAGAAATAGAGCAATTATCATAAAAAAAATCTATTTCTAATAAAGATATTAAGGATATAATCAAATTAAAATAAGATAAACCGAATGAATTAAATGAAGAGTTATTGAGATAAGGTTAATGGATGACAAAAAAATTATATCTTATTAAAGTTACCTCAGATAAATTAAAGAAAATTCGAGATGACAATATAAATACAATTTTTAATTAAAATACCAAATTAATAGAAGAATGTAATATGCTCAGAAGTGAAAATGATAGATATTCTAAAAAAATTAAACACGTTGAAAAATTAGTAAAAGACGCAGATAGATTATTATAAAGATTAAAACCTAAAATGAACAAACAACCAAAACTAAATCAAATTGAAAAATAAATAGAAGAATAAAAGTAAAAGGTATAAAATTAGAAGACCAAGCTTTCTAATTTAAAAGATTCTATGAGTTAAATCTTAAAAAAATCAGTTGTAGATTGATATTAATCAATATTATAATTATTAATATTATTTTAATTAATTATTAAATAAATCCTAAATTCATCAATAAAGTTTTTAAATTACAGAAATAATCTAATATGTTCAAATCTCTTGTATTTTTATTTAGTATTTTTTTAAATATCATAAATTTTTGATATAAATACAAATAAATGATTTTTGTAACACTTTTAGTATATTTTTACAAAAGTTTAATTAGGGTGTTAAAAGTTTATTCATCAGAATAAAATATATATGTTGACGTAATACGATTTTAATGAAATTCAAGCATTTATATAGTAAAAATTAGTTTGAGGTATTTTAAGAATTAAATTACTTCTTTTATTCTTTAAATGTCTTTGATTGTTCGAAATATATCAAGTTTAAGAGAGGAATGGAAATAATTGATAAAAAAAAAGTTAAAGAAAAACAAAAGAAAGAATTAATATACATTATCGTATAAATTTGAGAACAATGCCAACAACAATACTAATAAATCTGATTCGCTTTTAATCGTTAAGAAAATTCCTTATTCAATACCAACTAACAATGTTTTTAGATTACAAACAAACATTTAGTTTTCGTTAAACATAAATAATGAATTCTCAATGGGATCTCTCTCAGTTGATCCTCATTCAAACAATTATAAGGTTGTAAGAACAGATAAAAGAAAAAATCTTACTATTCTAACCTTAGATCAGATAGATCGACCTATAACACCATCAGAAGTACTATATAGAATCTTTAAAAGCAGAAATGAATAATTAGCTGAAGCGTTTCATTAGTTTAATTTAAGGAATCTTAATCCATCCTAATTCAAATTTAACGAACTTTCAGAAATGATAGAATATGAATAAAGTATAAAATGTTAACCATATGCATGTTATGTATAAATATACGAGAATGGAATGTGGAGAACATTTCAAAAGATATTTAATTAAAAGATGCTTTAAGTATTTGGAGTTTCTGAAGAAATGCTCATTCATTATTGTAATGAAACTAAACTAATTCCAATAAGTGCATTTTTAGATGCATCTGATGAGTAACTTAAGGTTTTTTATCAAATCTTTTGTGGTATAGTAGAATAAATTGAATCAAATAGGGATTTTATAAATTATAATGGGGAAAGATTTACAGTATCATTAAAAATGAGAAGTTTCTTTATTAAAGATGAAGATAAGGATTAGTTATTTGAATATATGTATAGCGTAACTGAATGTGAAAATAAGTGGATGTCTGAGAATAGAGTTAGAACAAACTAAATGGAATATTTCAATATTAAGCCAAGTTATTCCACAACAGATGAATCCTCATATATAGAATCTAACAAAAGATGTGGATTCAAATATATTGGATGATATTTAAAAATACAAAGTTTATTACAATTTATTATTTGTTTTCGATATTAATTTAATTTATTTAATTGTCTCATATAAAAAAAATTATCTTTTTTATGTTTTCCATTTAATTAAAATAATTTTTTAATGAATATATTGTTAATTTTTAGAATCTAATTAAATTAAATTTAGTAAGAATTTTATAAAACTTTAAAATTCGATAGAATAATTAAAAAATAAGTTCTCATAATTACTTAGAAGATAAAGCAATTAAATTAGATGATTGTTATAAATAGAAAATAAAAATATAAATTAAAAAATTGATTGTACAAACAATAAAATTTCTGAGTATCATTAAAAAGATATTAGATGAACAAGTATAATAAATGAAGATGTTTTAATATTAAGAATATTAATAAAATAAAAAATATCAATGAGGTGATAAAATTTAAGTATGAATTTGAATATTGTGGTAAGAAATAGTATAATAAATTATCTATAAAAATACTTTAAAAAGTTGATTTAGATTACAAAAAGGCAAATCTTGAAAGAAACAATATACCTAAAAAGAATAGTAGAAAAAATATAAATAGTGATGATGAATTTGAGTATGATAGTTAACAAGAAATAAATTAAAAAGAAAAGATTAGATTAGATAATAATTTGAATAGATGTTATAAAAAGTATTAAAAATAAAGAATGATATAAATTATTTAAAGATAGACTTTAAGTAGTTAGAAGTGAATTAATTAGATGATATTTGTTTAATATAATATATGATAATAATTTCATTAATCATCATTAGCTTCTTCTTCAGGATTATTCCATAAAGTTAAATTATCTCTTAATAATTACATGATGAGAGTGCAATCTTTATAATTCTCCTCATTAACAGTATCTACTTAAGCAATAGCTTATTCAAATGCTTCATTAGCAATTCTAATAGCTTCTGCTGCATTTTATAAGATTTCATAATAAAATACTGATTAATTGAGATGTAATCCTAATCTAATTGGAGATGTAGTTGATAAATTGGATTTAGCAAGTACATCTGCTTCTCTAAATAATTATAAGTAAAGAATTACTTATAAGCTTATGTTGCTTACTCAACAGCAGCATGATATTCATTATCTAATAAGAATTCTGCTAAATATCTATTATAATCAGCTTTCATTTTTAAATAAAACACTTTGCTATCAACTTATTTTGAATTTGGATATAGAGTACTATCAATTAGATTAAGAATTTCAGAACATGAATTTTTAAGTTCTCCTTCTATTTTATGTTTGTAATTTCTAATATAATTTAAAGTATATTGATCAGTTTGTTTTCTAGACTCTTTTTATTCAATAGCAGTTAATACTCTTAATTCTGCTCTCTTATTACCCACCTATATATATAAATATGGAATTAGATAGATACCACATTTTTATATGCTGCTGATAATATGCTTCTTTCTTCTTTATTTAATTCTTAATCCAAGAAATGTTTAATAAACTCAATCATATCATTAAATCGTTCTGTTTGTTATGCTATTCTAGCTAAGAATAAAAATTCTTCTCTACTAAATTTATTCATTATTAATTTAATATATTCATTTCTAAATTTATTTCCTATTCCCATAATTGAATATTATCACTTAATAATTATAATAAACATTAATAATCTTTTATATTCTCTTCTTTTACATGATCTAAAAATAATATGCCCTTCTCAAAAGATTCTTTTGCCAATTCTCTTGCACCTTCAACATCAGATAATATATCACAAATAAATACAGAAGTATTTAACATTAATCTTAAATATAGTGGCAATGTAGGTGATAATTTACTCTATGCCATTAGTACTGCTTCTCTAAATCTAAATAATTAATACTTATATGCTTCTTTTGCTTAATCAACTGAATTATGTTGATCATTTTCTAATTGAAATTCTGCTAAATATCTATTATAATCTCCTATCATTTTTAAATAAAACACTTTGCTTTCAGCTTATTTTGCATTCGATAATAATTTATCTCTAACCAAAATTATTATCTCCTAACATTTCTATTGTAACTCATTCTCTATTTTCATTTGATAATTTTTTATATATAATAAAACTTATCCATCACTTTATCTATTAGATTCTCTTTCTTCAATTTCCTATAAAACCCTTAATTCTGCTCTTTTTATTCCAATCTTATATTGATAAAAGATTTATAAATACCACATTATTGTATGCAGATTAGAGTGTATTACGCTCTTCTTTAGTAAGTTCAATATCATCTACTAATTTAATAAATTCAATCATATCATTAAATCGTTCTGTTTATTATGCAATTTTAGCTAAAAATAAATACTCTTCTTTATTAAATTAATTCATAAATAATGTATTATAATGATATAAATTATAATTATGATAAAATATATATTATCTATCTATTCTTTTTCAAGAAAATTGCCATCTTAAATAGCAAAATAAGTTTACATGTAAAAGTTAAGAGAAGATGATGAGTTTAAAGAATTAGTTAAAAAAGACTAATAAACATCTCTTAAATAAATAGAAGGAGATAATTATGTTCCTGAACCAAAGAGGGGAGATTCAAGAGTGCCAAGAGTTAAAGAGAACTTAAAAGAAACAGATACACATTTAATATAACAGAAGAAAGTAAATTAAATAACAAAAATAATAAGCTAGATTCTGCATTAAAAGTATTAGAAGCAAAAGATAAAACATCAAAGGCTGTTGTAAAGAATGCAATCAAGGAAGAGTTTTTTCTTATGAAAAAGTTATCAGAAGAAAATGCTAAGTTGGAAGAAGAAATTAAAGTAAAGAATAGAAAGAAAGAATTAAAGGATTTATTTAAATAAATTGAAGAAATGGAAATAGAACCTGATGAATAAAATGCAGAAGTTAAATATATATTAAAACTATTAGCAAATTCCATATTTTAATAAATTAACTATGGAAGAGAAATATAAAAGAATTGATGATTGGAATAAAAGATATAATATTTTAGGAAAAGTAGATCCTTATCTTTTGTAAAGGGCTAGAACTAGTTAAAACATAGAGAGTTTTATTTAAACAAATTTTGAAAATGATTAAAAATATTTTGATAAGTTCAATATAAAAGGAGGTGTTACTATAGGTGAGATTCTTACAAATAAGGCTTGTACAGTTGTTTGGATATATATTAATTTTTTAGAAAAGTTAGAGAAAAAAGAATTAAATGAATATTTATAAAAATTGAATAAGAATTCAAAATAATTAAGTTGGAAAATGTGTTAAGATTTAGGATTAAAATATGGACCAGATATTCGATTTTGTTTGAGTAAAAGAGAAGAGAAAGAAAATGAAATAAAAAAGGAAGTAGATGAAAATGCAAAAGCATTAGTTTAATAAGATTTAATAGAAAGATATTAAGCAGGTGAGATTCCTAGAAAGATTAAATTATCTAAATTTAATGAAATTATTTAAGAATTAAAAGAAAAGAAAGTATATTTTACAGGAACAATTTCAAATTCTGAAATACCATAATCTAAACGAACGGCTGATGATAAAGAGATAAGAAATAAGAAAAGTAATACAAATGAAAAATCAGCAGCTGATAAGTTTTGGGATTAACTATGAGATTTGAATTAAATGATTATAACCAATTTATTTAATGTAGAACTATGTTGTTTATATTTATATTAATATAAAAAGAAATGAATTATGATTATATAGGTGCAATAAAAATAAAAGATGGCTTATTTTTAGGAGATTAATTTGCTGCACAGGTATTCTTTAATGGTTAGATTAGGATCTTGAATTTATAGTTACTAACAAAGTTTCAAGAATTATTAACTGTGCATCAAAATAAATACCAAATCACTGGGAATCAATTGGGATTGTTTATATGTCTTTTCCATGGCTTGATAATGATTAATAAGTATTAACCATCTCTAAATCTATAGGTTATTTTTCAATAGGATGAAATAATAAATAATATCATTAAATTTATAGATGATGCATTAAATAATGGAGAAAGTGTTATTATTTTATCAGTTAAAGGACATAATAGATCTGTTGCAACTTTATGTGTTTATTTCATGAAGAAATATAGATGGACTCTATATAAAACACTTCAATATATGCATAATAGAAGACCAGATTTAGAAATTAAAGCACATTTCTTTAATTAATTATTATCAGTTGAAACTAGATTATAAAAATAAGGTTATGGTGCTAAGACTTATAATTGGGATGAAGTTTATACATAAGGTGAAAATGATGAAATTGTTTTAAGAAATACATATTTAAACTCTTAAGCATAAGGTGTAGCAGAATTTAAAGATCATGATCCAAAACCAAAAGAATCTAAGTTTAAATATTAATTATAATCTTAGATTAAAATTTGCTGAAAAGGTTTCTATGTATATTCCACCCTATGATAAAATAATATTCTCAAAAACACGATAAGTTTAAGATGCAAAACCAATTATTAAATTATCAGGTTCATCAAAATAAATTGATCCTTCATTTCAATAATTAACTTAAAAATAATAATCTTTAAATATACAAGATTAATCAATTTAATAAACATAAAAAGATTCATAAAAATCAAGTTTATAATAAATCTAGCCTTATCCCTAAAGACCCTAATCTTAAGGAACTTAATAACAAAGATTAACTAAAAGTGATAGTGTTAAATCTGGATAAATCTATGATAATAATAATTGTAAACTTATTTATTATATCTATTAGAACCTTAAAAAGTTTAAATGAATAATTTTATGGATTCAAGAGAATAATTTATATAAAAGTCTTAATAAATTAGTGGAACTCGTCGACCTTAAACTGCCCCTAATTAATTAAAAGCTCCCAGAATTTAAACTACTCCATATAAGAGAAATACAAGCTCAGGATAAAGATAAGAAGCTGGATCATAACCAAATACATAATTCAAACCTATGAGATAGAGAGCTTAATCTCCTAATTCTGCTTATAATTCCTAAAATCCATATATACAAAGATAATTTAAAGCTAAAGCATGGAAAAAATGAAGCTCCATTTATTCTTTTTTTGTTGCTTATTAAATTCATTTTCTATCATAATCATATCAATTTTCTCATTTAATCATATCTAATCAAAACAGATATAAAAGAATTTATCATATATCATATATCATAAACCTTATCTAAAAACTAAATTTATTTTACAAATTTTTAAATTCTTATAATTAACTCTAATACATCTATACATTTTGATCCTTTATACAAAAAAAAGATTTCTATAATTCCTTAAAAACTATAAATAAAATCATAATTTTACAAACTTTATAAAAATACAGAAAGAAAACATAAGTATAAATTAGATTTTTAATATTAATTAATAAAATTTATAATATTTTCATTTAACAGCTGCTATAATATTTCCCTTTAAAAATGCATTTTTTAAGCTTTCTTAAGCTTTTATCATTTCAAATGGAATCATATTTAACATTCCTTTTGTTCTCCAAATTTATCTGCTCATTTCTTTATTGTAAGGTGTCCAAATGAATAAAAATATAAATAATAATCCTATTATAAAGACAGAAAATTTAATTTTTTCAATTTGTTGTTCAGAATCAACAAAATCTGTCATAGCTTAAGCATATTAACTATTTAGATATACTATAGCTTAATCTATGTAATAAACTTATTAAATATAATTTTTGACTTATTGACTATCCAAAATCTTAATATCAGTAGAGAGTGTATTACTAGCCCATAAAGCTAAAGAAGTAATAGAATTCCTCAAACCTCTATCTAAAATACCTCCAGATAATACAGAACATTAATTTACATCTAAAATAAATTGATCTGTCTCAAATTTTTAGAGACATAAACTTTATAGATTGAATAAATTATAGAGTGATAAATATGGATCAAATTTGGATGAGAATGATTATTATAATGATTCTAAACATAATCTTTCATTTTCATATAAAGCTTCAATATATTGTTCTTTATAATTAGTAGTTTAAAGTATTTATTCAATAGTAAAATAAATAGAATATTTAAGATTATAAGATCTTATTAAACTATATTTTAGATGGTTATAAATAATAACAGATTGACTGGTTAATTATTATTCCAAAATAATATTAATAATAAAATAGGCCATGAAAATCATCATCATAGTAATGAATTTAGAAGAAACAGTGAAGGTATTAGAAGCTTTAGAATTTAAAAGTTTTTATTATCTCATGGCTTCTTAATCTTAAATTTGTTATTCTTCATGTTCTTATTATTATTATAACTGTAATTTATCAATATTTTTATAAGTTGGTAAAGATGAAGGTAAAGGTTATTGATTGGATGGTAATGGAGTATCATTTGATGGTGGAGGTTATTCATTATTAATTTCAACAATTACATTAGATTAATCATTTTAATCTTAATTTTTTATCTTTTTTTATCTTTCTTACTGTTTTTCTAATTCAGCTTTTGCTTAAGCTTATTCTTTAATAGTGTTTTACATATTTGAAAGATATGTAGATTTAAATTATTCACTTCTAGATGCTAATTCTTTAATATCTTTTTAAGTGAGTAATCCAAATAAAGACATAACTTTATTATTGATATTATGAACCTTTAAAACAACAGGTATCAAAAAGATTTAAGCAATTACTAATGATGTAATAGCAAGTGATAAAACTGCATAAAAGATAGAGTTATAATCTTCAATAATGAAAACAAAGAAATCATAATAGATTTATGAAACATCTTAAGAACCTTATCTAAGTAATTAATAACCATTTCTAATAATGAAGAATACATTCTTAACAGTATTTTCAGTCTACATGATAATATAAATAAAATTACACTATTGAGATTGATAAAAGAAGGTAAAGATGCATTTCTTATAATAGAAGCAGATGTTACTAATTAAAATATAGCATCACTTAAGGTACTAGAATAATTCTACTCTATATTGTCATATAAGTAAGTAACATTGATAGCAGTATCTGAAAATACATTCTTTTTAGCCTCTATATTAATTCTAGATTTTATAAGAGAATATTAGATAGTCTTAAGTTGATTAACTTGTAAACTTAACTAAAATTTTTATTATTATTACTTTATCTCTAAAATTTTAATCATATGTAACATTTCCATAAGCCATTAATTGTAAATATCTTGTATAAAATACTACGTCAGCCATCACTCCTGTTCTATAATAGGCCATAGTTATTGCTGAATGACCATTTAAAATTTCATTATTTTATTCTAACCTATATCCTAATTGAACAGATGATAACACAATTAATATTATACATAAGAGAATTATAATTCTATTTAATAAAATAATTTTTGAAGCCTCTGATTTCTCCCCCATTTATATTTTAAAATCTTTAATTTATCTAATTTCTTCATTTACAGAAAGACCAGATCCTCCACTTACTTCTGATTAAATTACATTTTCAACAATATCTGGTTATTCTTCTTCTATTTTCTTATCTTCAATTACTTAATTTAATAATTCTTCCTATGATTCTTCTATAAATTAAATTATTTTTATTTTAGCATTTGCATATTCCGAATCTTCAACTAACATACCCTTAACCAAAGAACTTTTATACTTTTATGTTTTGTTATTTTTTTATTTTGAATCATGAATTGTAGTTTTATCATTTATCATAGATTTATCATTATTAGCAGTCTTTTCAATTATCTAACTATATTCCTTTCTGTCTAACAATATATTTTATTCATATGGATCTCTAGAGATTCCATAAAAAGCAGATTAATCTTCTTATTATTAAAAATCTTCAAGACTTTCATCTTAAACAATCTGATAATTAGATGATAATCCTGTTGTATCAATTGTAAAATTAAAAGCTCCCTACTTTTTACATAATTCAAGTAATTCAGGAGCTACATCAATAATTGGTAAATCTAATTAACCATTAGCAACTCCTACAGGAATTCCAAATTTATCATATACAGATTCACTAAAACCTAAAATAGAATGTGATAATTCATCAAACATTAAATAAAAGAATTTATCTGTATTATCACTTTTCTTTAGGAAACCTACTATTTATAATCCACTCTTTAAATTTGGTAAAACTCTTATCATTAAAGAACATGGAACTAAAAATCCATTTTTATTTAATGCAAATACTTACCTTTCTATTCCTAATACTTTACTCTAACTTGTCTAAATAAAGTTTCTAATAAAATCATCATGAACACTTGCCAATATTCTAGGCATTATTCTCGATACATTTGATCTCAATAAATCAGCCTTTTTATAACCCAATAATTTCTATATCTCATTATTACAATTTGTTATAGCACCCAAATTCTCTATATTTACAGAACATGTAATTATACAAGTATCACTATTTTAATCATATTTAAATTTTTCACTATCAATTATTCGATTTATTTCCAAATTCTTACTAATCTAATCTGATTTATCTATTATTCTTGTCCCCTCTATATCATTATTAACTACATGAGTTAAAAAATTCCCATAGATTTCTAAAGTTTTCAAATGAATGTTATTTATTTTAATTAATTTATCATATAGTTATTCTGTTTCATCTATTGAAGATGTTATTAATGCTCCCAATTATTATAGTTTACCTATATCAGGTGATTCTTCTTACAATTCTCTCCAATATTCTAAATGCAAATTTACTGATTTCTCTATTGCTGTTTCAAATTAAATGTAATAATTTTAAAAGTTTACTATTTATTAAACATCAATCTCTTAATTCTTATCAGATTCAACCATCTCTAATTCAATCTAATTCATCACTCTATATATACAAAACTCATCCTAAAATTATAATCTTTATTTTTGAGCAATAGCCAATTCATAAAATGCTTTGAATTTATTTTTTAACTTTTTTTATAATACATATGATCTAATTATTTAAATTCTTGTTGTCTGAAGTCTATCAGACGAATTCTAAATAAGTGCTTAAACAAAAGCATACCATCTCATTGTCTTATCTAAAGATTATTTATCATTCTCATTATCCTAATTTCTTAATGTATCTTAATGTATTAAGGAGCATGGACATACTTCTGCAGATTTTAAACAATCTTTCTGATGCAATTTAACATATCCTTCTAATTTCATTCTATTAATTGGTTTATCTCTATTTTCTATCAAGAATATCATTTCTTAAACAGTTTCTTCTAATTAAATATCCTTTTTCATATGAACCACTAATTCAGGACTTTTATTCAGTTTAAAACAACAATATACAACAATAGGAGAACATATTATTTCATAAAAGAATCCCATATCATCTATATCTCCTTAATCTAAGAATGCATGACTAACTGATACGAAAGAAAACCAAAACAATAAAGATGTTTAACATAACTTAATTATATTGACACTATTTTCTATGAATTATCTTGTCTTTAATCTCATAGTAATCATTACTCCATACATTATACATAATATGGTTATAAATGGTTTTTCAGCATTTTATTATGAATCCATTACAGCAAAAAATGGTAAATATATTTTGAAAATCAATTCAATCCAATTTAACTTAGTATATTTAGAGGCATAAGGAATTGGAGTAAATGGACTAAATTTAGTATTAAATACTCTACTTGTAATCAACTAAAAAAATCTCAAAAAACACTAAAGAAAATAATAGTAACAATATTCCCAAAGAGGATAAAATTACCATTATATAATAAAGGATAGAATCACATTCCATTTATCCTTCACACTTAAATGCTGCCAAGAATATACTTAAAAATGGCATAACAAGCACAGTCACCAACATCACCATTAAAAGGTTATATATTCTTATTGAGTAAATTGTTAACATTGATTTTTCTTATATTAATACATATACGAGCAATAGGACAGAAACAGATAAATAAAAAAATCCCTAAATTACATAAAAACATTACAAATATTATAAATACTGAAAATAACGTAGAATCTATTGTTATTAAGTATTTCACAGGTTAAAAATATGATATGGCTTCAACAAAGTAAACGAAATAATTTGTTTTAAATAAGTATGTTTAATATACTGAATAATATAACTAAGTAGTTAATTATTTATCAGTGATACCATCTATAAAAATTCAATCAATAATAAGAACTAATAGGACAATGTGGTAATAATCTACGTTTAATACATCATATCCATGGCTTCGAAAATTTTCTACTTTATCATTCAAATTTAAAATAAAATATTAATATTTAATAATTTCATAACTTTTGAATATGTGTAGCATCGTTCTACGTAACTATTTTAACTTCTCCTTTTGGAAGTGTGTATTTGACAATAGTAATTGAACAATTTAAAGCATTATTATTATAAACTGGTTATTTCTTATTGATCATGTAATTAATCTAATTCATAAATTCCATAATAAATCTAAATATTCTGTTATTGATACCCTCCATGTGTTACTAGAAGTACTGTAATGTTATTTAATTTCAAATCACTACATCTTTAAATAATCAATTGAAGCATTTATTATGCTCTATTGTTTACATCAATCCAGGATTCCCCTTGATCAGGTTTAAATTATCTAATATCAACTCCTTATTCTGCAGCCATTTTTTTAGGTAAAGCTAAACTTTATCCCTACAAAACACCAAATTATAATTCTAATATTACCTGCATGTTTTTCTCTTAATAAAGGTTCAAAATTTGGTATCATTTATTTAGTATGATGCTTTTAAATCAATTCAAATGTTTATTTTGTTCTAGCTAAATCACTTACAAAAACTATATCAAAATTTTCCTTTTTAATTCTTTTCCCTAAAGCTTCTGCTTACTTTACTCCTAAAGCAGATAATTATCCATCATCTTAACCTTACAAAATTTATAGTTTATTTCCTTCTGTTTATCCATGTCTAACTAACCAAATTTAAATTGCTTTTTATCCAATTTGTATCATTATTATTGATTTTATATAACTTATATTAGTTAACCGAGACAATATTTCAATATCAAAATTTGTCTATCAATCGTTAAAATTCATTCAATACTCTATAATTTATATTCAAAAGATTCAATAATTCTTTGATTTGTTATATTATTAATTCAGTCATAAATACAATTATAATTTTATTATTTATATGTTCCTATTACAACTACATCCAATTTAATATATTCTAATTCAATTTATAATATTTTAACTAACAATATCATTCTAAATTGCTAAAAAAAATTTGAATGAATTAAATGATTTTTTAAATTTATATTTCTTTAATTTCTCTATTAATTTGTATTCTAACCTCTAACATTACAAGGAAAAAGGATCACTTAAGCATTCTATAATATAGTAAAATTAATTGATGTTATTATTTTTATTACTAATCCTGCATATGTCCAAAAATATCATTTTTATTAAAATATTTTTACTTAATTTTTCGAAACCTCCCTTTGTTAAATACATTAATTTTCCAAAAAATGATTTAATAATAAAAATAACACTATTCAATTTTTAATCTATATATGTTTAGTTACAAAAATTAATGAAAAACAATTAATTCCAAGCATCCAATAAAATTTTTGCTATATTTAATTTTTTCCAAGATTTTCAAATAGTACTACTTCAAAATTCTAATTTTCAAAAATTGTGATTAAATTTCTCACATGAATCAAAAAAGTATAAAAATATATACTTTATTTAAATTTAAACAAAGTGTTATAATTTCTTATATATTAAAGTTTAGTTTCAAAAATACTAATCTTAAAACTTAAATGTGCCTATTAATTATTAGCTAAGCATATATACAATCTTAAATGAAGCTTTGAAAGTGATTAATAGTCAAACACATGCTCTAATTAGAATTAAGATTTTAGAAAATTCATTTTCTTATAAATATGTTAAATATATAAAAAGTATTTAAATCATAATTCCTTATTCTTTTCTTTAATATTTGGACACTCATCTATTAGAGAGTTTGATGATTCTTTTGGAGTTTCATATGAATCATCTTAAGTCTCAATAAGATCAAGATTTTTAATTCCTGAAAATTTCTTAACATGGATTTATGATAAAGGAGATCCATTATCTAATTGAGATATGATTGCATCGAAATCGAATTTTGTTTAAACTCTTAAGGTATTAAAGTTTCTATTCATTTTTTGTTATGAATTATTTATATTATTAATATTCTTAAATTAGAAAAGAATGCTTTATAATGTTATTTAATTTATTTTATAATTGTTTATAAATTAGCAAAAATAAGTAATTTTCAATTAAAATGGATGACTTTAAACTCTTATATAGGATTTTTATAATTGTAAAATACTGAAGTATAATGCAATAAATTATACTTTAATTCTAAGTCTGATTCTTCCATTTCATATAATTATTCTTCCGATTGCATAGGAATTATTGAAGATTCTTTGATTTATTAACTTTTTTAGTGTTTTTTACCAAAGATACTTTTCTAACTCTTTTATCTATATTGAGAAAATTTAGAAATTTTTGTTTATTCAATACTAATAGAATAATCAACAAAAATGCTTTTTTAATTAACAAATTATTTAATAGAATTTGAATGTTCATCGCTAGATTCTTTTTAACCAAAAGTTTCATAGTTTTATAATGTTTTAATCTAAACTTAACTCTCCCTTGAAATATTTGGAATAGATTAATAATGATTTTTTTTGCTAATTTAATTTTTATTATTTTAGATGTATTTCAAAGATTTTAAAGATTTAGAAGATTTGCACTTTGATTTTTAATAATCCTTCTTATTCCAATCAAAAATTAGAGAAGTATTGTTTTGATTTTCAATTAAAAATAAGTTTTTCAATGATGAATAATCAGGTTTTAGTTTATTGGTCATTTATTTAACATATTTCATATATCTAAATATAAAAAGGAATACTTTAATAATGCAGTTGGTAAACCTTAACATAATTATTCTTAAGTGATTTCTTGTTTCATTTATCCTATTTTTTGAATTCTATAGGTATCATCTTTATCTATATTCATCCAAGGTAGACTTTTATTAAGAAAGTAAATAAGTATATATCCTAATGATTCTAAATCATCTTTTTTATTTTACTCAATTCCCAAATGAGCAGCTAAACTAGCATATCTTGTTGTTCCTATAAAAGATAATTTATCTTTAGATTTTTTAATTTATTCTAAATCTTTAGCAATACCAAAATCAATCAAATATATCTTTGAAGAATTTGTGGATCCTAAAATATTTTCTGGTTTTAAATCTCTATGAATGATATTTCTTAAATTTAGATTGTGATTTTATACTTTTTATGGATAAATTCTAAAATTTCTATCATTTATATGGCTATATTGCACACACACTAATAAGAGAAATGCTTTAATTTATGAAAAAAATAGATCAAATCTTTGCCAAGCATATTCAAAATTATTATATCCATTCCTTTATAGTATCCATTCCAAAACAATCTTGGAACTTAAGCAACTCCTTCTAATTATTTCAATATTCTAACCTAAATATTATTTAATAAGAAACTTCTTTTTATATACTATTTAGATAAGCAACTTCGTTTTTTTCAACCTTTATTGCCACCTCAATTTTATTTAGTCTTGATTTACCCAAATAAACCTTTCCAAAAGATCCTTACGATAATTTATTAATTATTTCATATTCTTCAGCTATTATTTCTCCTTTTTGTAATTCTTCCATTCCAATTTAATTAATTATTAAACTAGTCAACTTATCTATATTTTGATTAGGGATAAATGTTTTAATTTTTTATAAAATAAAACTCATTATTAATTAAATAATACGAAAGATTGAGGAATAAAAATAAATCATCAAAATCATCTCATTATTTCGATAAATGCTCTTTAAAATGAACTTATATAACACCAACTTTCTTTATTTCTTAATGAATATGTAAATCATCATTCATTTCATCATCAAAATTTTCAAAATCATCAAATTCAGAAAAATTAATTGGACTAATTTTTTCTTTGTTTTCATCATCATCAAAATCTCTAAATTCTCTATTTTAAAATATATGGCCTTGAATTTTTTAATTTAAAGGTTATTTTACTAATGATGATTCTCTAGATAAAGATTATCTTGAATTTTATCGAGATTATTAAAAATATCTATTTTTATTTCTGGATACAATTGAAGGAGCATAATTGATAACAACTGAAGATTATTACGAATTTTAATCTATTTAATTAGATTTACGTCTTTCACTCTTTTTCAAATCTGGAATTTTGAGATAATCACTTTATAAATTTGACATATCTAGATCATTTAATGATTATTGATCTTAATTTGAAGATTTAGTTGAACTAGTCTAATTATCCATCCAATCATATTTCCTATCAAAACTTATATTATTTTATTCTGCTATTCTTTTAAATAAAGATTATAAGTATTTATAGTTTGGAGTAGATACAAATTTTAATTTGTAAACATAATCTAAATAACTTTAAAATTCACTCGGCAATCCTTTACATAAATCCTTTAAATCTAATTCCATTTTGAATTTACCCACTAACTTTGTTTTCTCTTTGTCTGAAGATGATGTAATGTTTTACCATGGTAGATTTCCTGTTTTATTATTATTATTCATTTACCTCTTAATAAATAAATAAAAACATATCCTAAACTTTCTAAATCATCTTTTCTTGATAATTCATAACCTTTATGAGCTGATATACTTGCATATCTTGTAGTTCCTATAAAAGGCTTTTTTTCTTATAATGCACTAAATATTAATCAATATATACATATGTTATTTATTATTACGAAACTTTTTAGATATCCCAAAATCAACCATATAGACTTATTAAGAATCATTACCTCTTCCCATTAAAATATTTTCTGGTTTTATATCTCTATGTATTATACCTCTTTTAATTTTTTTATGTTTTACCTATTATGAACCTCTTCAAGAATAGTTAGTAATTATTCAGCCAAGTTACATACTGTTTTTAAAGAGAGTTTCTTAAATTTCTTTTAAAAATGAGCCAAGTCTCTTCCAAGTAATTGCATAGCCATACAATTTTAATTATACTCATTTCCATACCATAATAACTTAGGAACGCCTATATTTTAATTTAATTAAAGTACCTGTTATTCCTCGAAGTTCTTCTATAATTTAAATTTCTCGTTCTAAACTCATTAAATCTTTATTTTCTTTCTCCACTTTTATAGCAACATAATCCCTTGTTACTTTATCATGACAAATATATACAACTCCAAAAGAACCTAAATGATATATTTTTCTGATACCTTGACTTAATTTTTCTCTTTGGACAAATCTACCATAATAAATCCTTCCTTTGTCCTGCTGCATTGTTTTTAATAAACAATAAATAAATTAAATTTTTGTTTTAGTTAATATTTAGAAGATTTTTATGAACATTATTTTAATCAAGAAATTTAGATATTACAAAAACAATATTTATTTAATATTATTTTCATATTGTTTTAATAATGACTTTCAACATTTACTATAGAATTTATATGGCCACATTATTATTTCGTTAGTAAACTTTAAAATCATCAATTTAACATATTACTTTAGGTTTACTATCAAATATTCAAAATTATGTCAAACCGTAAAGTGTTTTAAAAAATTTATATAAAATCTACTCTATTTATTTATTTAGAATCATTAAAAATAATTATAAGTTATCATCAATATTTTATATATATATATTACATAGTTTCAAAATTATATCATACTACTTTATTATTTAAGATTGGATCAATATTTTCTTTTTGTTTGGTTTTCTTTAAACCATCTAATTCTGTTTTAACAACCATTAATTACTCTTAACTAATATGATATTGTTTATTTATAGATAAGAACTTATTTTTCCAAATTTCAATCTCCTCTAAGTATTTTTTGTGATTTTCTTCACATGATCTAGATGTTTGATTCTCTAACTCTGTTAATTTTTATTTTAAAATTTTATTCAATCTTTCAACTTCCATAACCAAAGTAGCATTCTTCTTTTCTAAATCTCTAACTATTATTTTTTATTCATTTTTGGTTTATTTATTACAATTACAATCCTTCTACATACTCAATTCTCTTATCATTAAATCTTTTTATCTTAAAAATAGAAATAAATATTTTACTCAATTATGATTTACAATTTTTAAATCTAAGCTTTTTACTCATTTTAAACAGATGATTTGATCATTTATGAGAGTTATACATCTTATTTTTATAATTAATCTAAATAATATGTTTCAATAGCTTATTTTTCTTTTATAGCACTTTATTTTTCTTCTTTTAAATTTTAGCAGATCACATTTGTTTAGTTTAATTGTTATTATAATATTGCTATTTATTGATTCAACTATTTGGCTATTTATATTTAACTTTCTAATTCAATCTTTAAACTTTTAATTTATTATTAATGTTCCTCTGTTGTTGATGTTATTAATTATTTTTCTTATAATTATTTGTTTTCTTAATTCAATAATTTAATTTAATTTTATAAAGAATCTATAATTTATTAAAAGTTTTAAATTTCTAATTCTTTTTCTCTTTTATAAAATATGAACTCCTTTTAAACTAATTCAAATTTATTTTCTAATATTTAAATAAATTCATTAGCATTTTATGATTAACTATTTTATAGTATATGTTCTCTCTATTTTAAGATTTCTTCTTAATATCTCTTTATTTCATTTTATAATAATCTTGAATAATAATTATAAGTCTTACTTAATTTCTTTTTCTTATTATAATTCTTTGTCATTTCTAATTTCTTTTTCAAGATTATTCTTTTTTGATATTTACTCTATAGCTTCTTATAAAACAATAATCTGTTATTTTTGTGTATTGTAATTATCTTATAAATAATTGTATTATTCTTCTAATCTCTAAACTTATTATTAATAGATAAGTGAATCCTTTTTCTCAATTTGAACTTTGAATTCTAAATTCTCAATAAGTTATTATTATTATTTATTTTTCAATTTCCATTCATTCAACTCAATAAAAATTTAACTTTACTACTCTAATCTATAAAATTCAATAAATCAACCTTTTGCTTCCAATAATTCAGCTTCATAAACTTTCAATTTTTGTTTCTATAAATCTTTATCTAATTCTCTGCTGATTAATCTAATAGGGTCTTCAATAGATGTAGCAAAAGAAACTGCTCTAGCTTATGGAGATGGTTTGTTGACAGTGTAGAGCTTTTCTTAACTTTATCTTAGAGATCTTGAAGTTTTATACATAGTTTTTTATCAGTTAAATTAAATATTATAAAATTTATCTATCTTTTATATAAAGAATATATTCAATATATGTTTAGAAATTCATTTTAATTTATTTGGTAAGGTATATCAAAGTTATGGATACTTCATACTTCGATTTTTCAAATATTATATTATATTCTAAATTTTTATAATTTATTTACGGTAAAGAATAATGTCGAAGGACTTTTCAGAATATTTAAAAGGAATGAAGAAAGAAGAAACAACTAGCAATATTGATTTATAGGAGTTAGAAAATGTGTTTGATCAAAAGAAATATGAAGTCAAATGGTGGTAGGTTGTAATTGGAAATTCATTTACTACAACAACTTTGGGGTAATTGATTGAAATTTATTGAGATAAGAATTTTGACATAGCCATTACAAGTAATACATACTACATTTTAATTATCAATAAAAAAGATGGACTTGTAAGTGAATAATTTAAAGGATATAATGGAAGCAAAAATAACTTTGGGAGAATAGAAGAAATTGGAATTAATATTAAAACATAAAATAGTAAATTATTAAGGGATTTCTTATTAAAATTATAATGCAGTTTTAAAAGGGTTAGGAGAGTAAGGAATATTAGGATTTTTTAAAGGATTAGGAACTGGAATAGTCTATCAGATAACAAATTCTTAATTGAGATACTTTTTAATTTAGAAATACTTCAATGAAAAGAAATTAATTCAAAATTTGTATGCATCATTGGTTGGAATGGTTGTTGATGTAATCACAAATCCATTAATGCTTATATAATCAAAAATGATATATCAAAACAGATTACCAAATTTTAGAACATATAGATCATTTCTTGATATATTAAAGAAGGAGAGAAATCTTTATAAGGGTTCATTAGGACATATTTATAAACATATATTTATTTGTTTGTCTTAAATACCTTCATTATATATAAATGATACAAGATTTTGTTTAGGTTATTTGTTAATGATTTAACAAGTTGTATCATATCCATTTTTAACTGTTATTAGAAGATTACATTGTTAAGGTATTAAACCATTTATGTTGCATACAAATTACATAGGTTTTTGGGATGGAGTAAGATAGATATATGCATAAGAAGGAATTTTATCATTTTACAGAGGATTTGGTGCTTTTGGAATAGCAAATTCATTTATAGCTTTTGTATTGTATTCAACTTAACTTTTGGGAGAAAGTTAAGAATGAAAATATGATAATTCGAATTTTTGTATGTATTAAATATATGATATTAAAATTATCTACCTTATATATAATTTGAATATAGGAATATTTAAATTTTTAAGTAATTTAATGGAGAATTTTTATATCATTTTTAAATTAAAATTTATAAAATGGAAGAAAGTGATGTGTAACAAAATGTGAAAGCACAAGAATAAAACAAATTGTACAGTAGTAATGAGATTGAAAATTTCAATTAGTATTTAAGTGCAATTTGTTTGAGTTTATTAATCATCGATAAAGATTAATGGAATGTAGCTTGTCATGAGGATGTGAATCAATAGGTATAAATAATAATAATATGAATAGAATATTTGTTAATTTTTATCAGATTCTTAGATTAAGGCTATAATAGTGAGTAAGACAATAGAGAATGAAAAATTGAATATTTAAATTCGGTCAGAGTATGAGGCAACAAACAATTATGCTCATACAATTTGCTTTTTAAAGAGACATACATTTCAATATGATAGCCAGATGCAACCTTAACAATTTAGTAATCATATATAAGTGATAAATATTGGATATGCGGAATAATAAGGTGGAGCAAATCCATTCACATTATCTCATAATTATGTATAAAATTGTTTCATACCAATATTTACATAATACAAAGGAGAAATAGACAAAAAGAGAATAGTGGATCAATCAAGTTATAATGATTTAATAAAGAAGTTGAATGAGGTCAATTTGGCATTTATTAAATGCAGATAGAATGTTGAAGTACCTGAAATAATTTTATAATTTGATCCAAGAATAAAAGAGGCTGTTAAATTAAGAGGAGGTAAACCAACAATCGAAGATGCAGCTTAATTAAATAAGTCTGATATAGTATAATCTATATCATAGACTGTGACAAGATGGATATCCGATATTAATTAAATATCAAATACAAAGTTGGAATTAACAAATGCTAGTATTGTAGATGAAATTAATTATTGGATGAGTATGGAAAGATCATTGTTTTTTATTGAAAATTAATTAAAATAACCAGAAGTAGATTTTACTATTGAAGTTTTAACATAAGCAAAAAAAATGAATATTACAGCTTAATTTAAAGAAATAGCCTTAAAATAAAGTTTATAGAAATGTCAATCATGTAATCAATTCATGAAAGAATTTCCAATTAATAATTTATTAATTGCAACAAGTCTTGTAGAAATTAAAGATGCCATGATCTAAATATTTTAACATATGAAAAAGTTATCAAATATTTAAGAAATTTACACTATTCCTAGATCATTATAATTGGCAGAATCCTTTTCAAGAGAATTAACTAATGAAATGATTAAATATTATAAAGGATTTTCAATATTACATATTAAATATGTTGACTTTAAAGGTTTGATTATAAAGACTCAAGAAATTTTTAGTTAATGGGATGAAGAATATAAAATATTTAAATAAAGTATAGTTAAGAAATCAATGCATTAAAAGGATTAATATGGGTAATTTGAACATATCAAATTATAGAAGTAAATTACACATATTTAAAGATTGAGAGAAATGCATGAAAATCTAAAAGAAGTTATTGAATAGATAATTTAAAATGATTAAGAGGAATAAAAAGAAAATGTTTAATAGTTTGTTACATTATAAGAAATATAATAAGCATATGATATTTTTTAAAATGTTGAGGTATTTGATTTAAGTAAAGATGGAGAAGATTAATTTTTTAGAGCATTAAAATAATATGAGATTGCAATAGAATCTGTAGAAGCTACTATCACAACTAATTTAAGAGATTCGCTTGGTTCAGCATCATCTGCAAAAGAAATGTTTAGAATTTTAGCTAAATTCAATAAATTATTTTCAAGACCAAGAATTAAGGGAGCAATTTAAGAATATTAATCTTAATTATTAAAAACTGTTTATAAAGATATTTAATCATTATAAAACAAATTCAAAGAATCGTATTAAAAAAGTTAAAATTCAAGATTGGCATCTGCAAGAGATATTCCATTAACCTCTGGATTTGTTATTTGGTCAAAATAATTATAAATTAGATTATAGAAATATATGCAAAAAGTAGAATAAATATTAGGACCTTAATGGGCTGAAGATACAGATGGTAAGAAATGTAAAGAAATGGGAGAAACATTTGAAAGAATTCTTGATTCTGGACCAGCTTTGGAAGAATGGAAATCAGAAATCAATCAACATAATAAAGCTGTTAGTCAAAATGAAAAGTTGTTTGAAGTTGTTACAAGAAGAAGAGGATTAGAAATCAGAGTAAATTATGAAAAAAAATTAAGTTAACTCTTCAAAGAAGTGAGAAACTTAAGTAATATGAAAACTAAAGTACCTTATTCAATCTCTCATATTGCTAATGATGTTAAGGCTTCATATCCTTTTGCTTTATCTTTATAAGAATCATTACATACTTATATTTAGATTACATCTTAATTGAATGCTAAATCTGCAAAATTAGTAGCTGCATTAAGAAAAGAAGTTCAACTTTAAATTGGTTAAGGATTTAATTATTTATGGACTCATAAAACTTAATTATAACCTTATGTTAAAAAATTTACTGATAAAGTTTTTGAATTAGAATAGGCTGTTAATGGATTAAATGAAAGAATTGGTTAAATCGAATCTTTATGTGAAGCTATGAAAACATGTCCAGTAGATTCTTTAAATGAAAAATTAAAAGATATTCAAGAAGTTATTGATTAACTTTGTTTCAATAATTTCTCAAATTTACATATTTGGATCTAAGATATTGATAAATAAATTGAAAGTATTTTATGTGATAGAGTAACTGTCTAAATGAAAGAATGGTTAAATTAATTCATTAATTATTAAAAAATATAAGAAAGAGGACTTGTAAATTAAACTGTTGTTCATGAATTGAAATTATAAGATTAAATCATTTATGTCGATCCTCCTGTTGAATATGCTAAATATTTCTGGCTTTAAGAATTTCATAAAATGATAGGATAAATTTGCAGTTTGCCTAGATTAGTTGCTAATAGATTTGATAATACTATTTAATAAAATACAGGGCCATGGGGTACATAAAGAGATTTAGATTATTCTACTACCATTAATAAAATTAATTAATAATTGATTAAAGATGCTTATGCATAAATTGGATTATTATTGGAAGAAATGGAATAATATGTTTAAACTTGGTTAAATTATCAATCTTTATGGGAATTAGATATAAAATAGGTAGAACAAATATTATAAGATGATATTGAAAAGTGGCAATAAATGTTAACTGATATAAAATAAGGGAGAGCAACATTTGATAATTCAACAACTGAGGAACATTTTGGAGCAATAATAATAGATTATAGAATGGTTTAGGTAAAAATAAATCATAAGTATGATGCATGGCATAAAGAATTATTAAATCATTTTGGTCATAAGTTTGGTGAATAATTACGTGTATTTAATAAGAATGTGACATCAGAAAAAGATAAGCTGTTGAAAATAAATTTTTAAGATTTAACATCAGATATAATTGAATCGATAACTATAATTTAGGAATAGGATAAGAAATTTCCTAGTTGGTCAGCTGATATAGAATCATTTAAGAATGGATAGAAGGTTTTGGATAGACAAAGATATCAATATCCATAAGATTGGTTAAGTTTTGAATAGGTAGAGATGTAATGGAATTAATTTAAATAGATTCGAAGCAAGAAACTATAATAATAAGAGAATGAAATGAACAATATTTAATCAAAAATTCAATAAGATGAGAGATATTTAAATTAATAAATATAAGAGATAGAAGATTAATGGAAGACATCTAAGCCAGATTCAGGAGATTGTTCTCCAAATGAAGCTGAATAAATTTTGAAGAGTTTAAATGAATAACTTAGATCAGTTTAAGAGAAATATGAAAAGTGTAGTTAAGCAAAGGAGATTTTAAAAATGGATCCCCCTACTCATTAATAAAAATTGAATGTTTTATTGGAATCAATATCAGATCTATAAGATGTATGGTAAGAATTGGGAAAGGTTTGGAAAGTAATGTAATCAATAAAGGATTAATTGGTTTCAGCTTTATAAAATAAGAAGATAAAGGATACATATGATGAAGCATAGAAATAGTTAAATGGAGTATCAAGTAAGACAAGGAATTATGATGCATTTGAAAAGATGAAGGATAAGGTAAAGAATTATATAAAGATGAATAAATTAATAAATGATTTAAAAGAAGATTCAATGAAAGAGAGACATTGGAGATAATTGTTATCAAAATTAAAAGTGAATGAATCATTAAATTAATTATAAATGTAACATTTATGGAATGCAAATCTTTTAAATTATGAGAATTTAGCTAAAGATATAATGACAGTAGCAAGAGGAGAATAAGTGTTAGAATCGATGATATCAGCAGTAAAAGATTATTGGAATTAATTTGAATTAGAATTAGTAAAATATTAGACAAAATGTAAATTGATAAGAGGATGGGATGAATTATTTTAGAAATTGGAAGAAGATTTAAATAATTTAGCATCAATGAAAATATCTCCATTTTATAAAACATTTGAAGCAGAGATTTCATAATGGGATGACAAATTATAAAAAGTAAAATTAACGATGGATATTTGGATTGATGTATAAAGAAGATGGGTTTATTTAGAAGGTATTTTCTTTGGTTCTTCTGATATAAAAACATAATTATAAAATGAATACAATAAATTTAAAGATATTGATAGTTAATTTACTAATTTAATGAAAAAAGTAGCTTAGAAACCATAATTAATGGATGTCTAAGGGATTCCAAATTTAGCAAAGACTTTAGAGAGATTAAGTGATTTTTTATAGAAGATTTAGAAAGCATTAGGTGATTATTTAGAAACATAAAGATAAGCATTTGCTAGATTTTATTTTGTAGGAGATGATGATTTATTAGATATAATAGGTAATTCTAAAGATGTAACTAATGTTTAAAGACATTTTCCAAAGATGTATGCAGGAATAGTACAATTATAAAGTAGAAAGGATGGAAATGATGATGTAGTATTAGGGATGTCAAGTAAAGAGGGAGAAATAGTTTAATTTAGTAAGGAAGTAAAGATTGCAGAAGATCCTAGAATAAATATATGGTTAGGAAAGGTAGATAATGAAATGATGAATTCATTGGCATTAGATTTAGAGAAATCTGTTTAAGATATATAAGCAAATTAATAGAATAGAATGAAAGTTATAGAAGAACATCCAGCTTAAATAATATTATTAGCATTACAAGTAGGATGGTGTTTTTCAGTTGAATCATCATTTAATAATGAATAATAAATGAAATAAACATTATAATATGTATTAGAATTTTTATCAGAATTGGCAGAAAGTGTATTAAAAGATCATCCTAAACAATTAAGATAGAAATTTGAATAAATTATAACAGACTTTGTTCATTAAAGAGATGTAATTAGATTATTAATGAACAGTAAAATTAATAATAAAAATGATTTTGGTTGGTAATATCATATGAGATTTAATTGGAATTCTAAAGAAGCAGATCCTGGAAAAAGATTATTAATATAAATGGGTAATGCATAATTTCATTATGGATTTGAATATTTGGGAGTAGCTGAAAAATTAGTATAGACTCCATTAACTGATAAATGTTTTTTAACTTTAACATAAGCATTACATTTAAGAATGGGAGGATCTCCATTTGGACCTGCAGGTACAGGTAAAACAGAAAGTGTAAAAGCATTAGGAGCATAATTGGGTAGATTTGTATTAGTATTTAATTGTGATGAAACATTTGATTTTAATGCAATGGGTAGAATCTTTGTAGGATTATGTTAAGTAGGAGCATGGGGTTGTTTTGATGAATTTAATAGATTAGAAGAACGTATGTTATCTGCTTGTTCATAATAAATATTATTAATATAAACTGGATTAAGAGAAAAATAAAAATAAATAGAATTAATGGGAAAAGATGTTAAATTAAATTCACAAATGGGAGTATTTGTAACTATGAATCCTGGATATGCAGGTAGATCTAATTTACCAGAAAATTTGAAATAGTTATTTAGATAAATGGCCATGGTTAAACCAGATAGAGAATTAATTGCTTAAGTTATGTTATTTAGTTAAGGATTCAGAACTGCTGAAAGATTAGCTGGTAAAATTGTATCATTATTTGAATTATGTGATAATTAATTATCATCATAACCACATTATGATTTTGGTTTAAGAGCACTAAAATCAGTACTCAATTCTGCTGGTAATATGAAAAGATAAGAAATGATTGATAGGAAATAAGAACCTGTACCATAATCTGAAATTGTAGAATTTGAATAAACTATTCTATTAAGAAGTGTTTGTGATACTGTAGTACCAAAATTAATAAAAGATGATATTAAATTACTAGAAACATTATTATAAGGTGTATTTCCAGGATCTTGTATTCCTGAAATTAAAGAAGAAGAATTAAGAAAAGAATTAGCTTTAGCATGTTAAAGAAAGAACCTCTAATCTAGTAAAACCTTCATTGAAAAAGTGTTATAACTATATCAAATTTAAAGATTATAACATGGACTTATGTTAGTTGGACCATGTGGATGTGGTAAAAGTGCTGCTTGGAGAGTGTTATTAGAAGCTATGTATAAATGTGATAAAGTTAAAGGAGAATCTTATATTGTTGATCCTAAAGCTATTTCTAAAGATGAGTTATATGGTAGATTAGATAACACAACATTAGAATGGACTGATGGAGTATTTACATCTATTTTAAGAAAAATTATATCTAATTAAAGATAAGAAAGTACTAGAAGACATTGGATTATATTTGATGGTGATGTTGATCCTGAATGGGCTGAAAATCTTAACTCTGTTCTTGATGATAATAAATTACTCACTTTACCTAATGGTGAAAGATTAGCTATTCCTCCTAATGTTCGAATGATTTTTGAAGTTGAAACTCTTAAATATGCTACCTTAGCTACTGTCTCAAGATGTGGTATGGTCTGGTTTAGTGAAGAAACTATTAATGATGATAATATATTCTATCATTTCATGGAAAGACTCAAATAAGATGATTATGATTAATAAAAAAATGAAGATGAAAATAATAAATAAACTACTAATTCTTAAGAAACTGAACTTAGAGCTAAATGTGTTAAAGCTCTTGACTAAGTTATTAAATATTTATCCTCATTTCTATCCGTTGCTTAAAAATAAGAATATAAACATGTCATGGAATTCACTAGAATCAGAGTCTTAGAAAGCACTTTTGCATTAGTTAGAAGAAGTATTTCTAATATTATTGAATATAATGAAAATAACTCAGAAGTACCCTTAGAGGAAGAGTAAATTTCAGATTATATGGTTAAACAATTTTTAATTGCTGTCATGTGGGGTATTGCTGGATCTATGAATCTTTATTAAAGAACTCAATATTCTAAAGAAATCTGCTAATTATTGCCACATAATATAATTCTTCCATAATTTACAGAGAGTGCACCTTCCTTAATTGATTTTGAAGTTACTTTACCAGAAGCTTAATGGAGTTAATATAAAAAAAAGGTACCATAAATAGAAATTGATCCATAAAGAGTGACTGATGCTGATCTTATTATCGAAACTGTTGATACTCTTAGACATAAGGATGTTCTCTGTGGATGGCTTAATGAACATCGACCATTTTTATTATGTGGACCCCCAGGTAGTGGTAAAACTATGACTCTGATGAGTACACTTAAAGCTTTAACTGATTTCGAGATGATCTTTATCAATTTTAGTAGTTCAACAATGCCTTAATTAATAATTAAATAATTTGACCATTATTGCGAATACAAGAAAACTACTAATGGAGTCTTTTTATAACCAAAAAATTAAAAATGGCTTGTTGTATTTTGTGATGAAATCAATCTACCTGATTAAGATAAATATGGAACAATGGCAATTATCACTTTCTTAAGATAATTAACAGAATAACATGGATTTTGGAGATCATCTGATAGATAATGGATTTCACTTGAGAGAATTTAATTTGTTGGAGCATGCAATCCTCCTACTGATGTTGGTAGAAAACCACTTACTCCAAGATTTCTTAGACATTGTCCTCTTATTCTTGTTGATTTTCCAGGACCAGAATCACTCAAATAAATTTATGGAACTTTCAATAAAGCTATGCTTAGAAGAACTGTTAATTTAAAATAACATTCTGAATAACTTACTAATGCAATGGTCGAATTTTATACTAAGTCATAATAACATTTTACTGCAGATCAATAAGCTCATTATATATATTCTCCAAGAGAATTAACACGATGGAAATATGCTTTGAATGAAGCCTTAGAGCCTCTTGAATCTGTTGAAGACCTTGTAAGGCTTTGGGCACATGAAGGTTTGAGATTATTCCAAGATAGATTGGTACATGAACATGAAAAGGAGTGGTGTAATAAGCTTGTTGATTAAGTGGCTTATAATAATTTTAACAATTTGAAAGATGAAGCATTACAAAGACCTATTCTATTCAGTAATTATTTACATAAGGTTTATCAAAGTGTTGATAGAGAAGAATTGAGAAAGTACATCTAAGGTAGATTAAAGCAATTTAATGAAGAAGAGTTATCAGTTCCATTAGTTGTTTTTGATGATGTACTTGATCACATATTAAGAATTGATAGAGTCTTAAAATAACCTTTAGGACATCTTTTATTGGTTGGATCATCAGGAGTAGGTAAAACAACACTTACTAGATTTGTAAGTTGGATTAATAATTTAACTGTGTTTTAGATCAAGGCAGGAAGAGATTATTCATTAGCAGATTTTGATAATGATTTAAGAGAAGTAATGAAGAGAGCTGGTGCAAAAGGGGAGAAGATTACATTTATATTTGATGAATCTAATGTATTAGGTCCATCATTTTTAGAAAAGATGAATGCATTATTAGCATCAGGGGAAATTCCAGGATTATTTGAAAATGATGAATATTTGGCATTGATAAATTTATTAAAAGAAAATTCAAGTTAAAACAAATAGTTTGATTCATCAGAAGAATAATTATTTAAGAATTTCACATATTAAGTATAAAGAAATTTACATGTTGTTTTTACAATGAATCCAAAGAATCCAGATTTTTCAAATAGAACAGCATCATCTCCAGCTTTGTTTAATAGATGTGTGATAGATTGGTTTGGAGATTGGACAAATGAGGCACTTTTTTAAGTAGGAAAAGCATTTACAATGTATATTGATCCTCCTGAGAATGCATTCAGTAAAAAGATTAAAGATGAAAGTCAAAGATAACACATTTTAGTATCAACATTAGTTTATATATAAAATACTATAATTGAATTAAATAATAGATTATAAAAAGGTGCAAAAAGATTCAATTATATAACACCAAGAGATTATTTAGATTTCTTAAAGCACTTTGAGAAATTACATAATGAGAAGAAATCATAATTAGAAGATTAGTAATTGCATTTGAATGTTGGTTTGGATAAGTTAAAAGAGACAGAATAATAAGTATTGGAAATGTAGAAAAGTTTAGATTCAAAGAAGATTGAGTTGTAGACAAAAGAAAGATAAGCAGGTGAGAAATTGTAGACAATTATTGAAGAAAAGAAGATAGCAGAAAGAAAGAAGGAAGATAGTACAAGATTATCAAGTGATGCTGAAAAGAAAGCAAAAGAAATGGAAATAAGATAATCATAAGTTAATAAAGAACTTAATGAAGCATTGCCAGCATTGGAAAATGCAAAATAATGTGTTAATAGTATTAAGAAAGATGATTTAAATTAAATAAGAGCATTAGGTTCACCTCCTGCATTAGTTAAATTAACAATGGAAGCTGTTGTTTGTGCAATTAATTCATTAGATAAAAGTCCAGAATGGAAAGATGTTTAAAAATCAATGGCAAATATGAATTTTATAAATAATGTGATAAATTTTAATACAGAAACAATGCCTGCAAAAGTTAAGAAATTTATATTAACTAAATATTTATCAGCTTAAGAATGGAACATTGATAGAATCAATTATGCATCAAAAGCAGCAGGACCATTAGCAATGTGGTTGGATTCATAATTAAAATATGCAGATATATTATAGAAAGTAGATCCATTAAAATAGGAAGTAGCTAAACTTTTATAAGAAAGTGATGAATTAAACAAATAAAAGAAAATTTATGATGATGAGGTTGGAGCAGCTGAAACTAAGATTCATAATCTATAATAAGAATATTCTGAATTGATTAGCTAGAAAGAATCAATTAAATCAGAGATGTTAAAAGTTTAAGAGAAAGTAACAAGATCTTAAGCTTTATTAACTGATTTAAGTGGAGAAAGAATTCGTTGGGAAGAAGCTTCATAAAACTTTAAGAATTAATTAGCTACAATGATAGGAGATGTTCTATTGTCATCAGCTTTTCTATCTTATATTGGTTTCTTTGATCATTTTTATAGGAAGGTTGTAATAAATACTTGGAAAGATTACCTTTAGAATTAAGCTAATATATCATATAGATAGGATTTGTCTTTAATTGAATTCTTATCAAAACCTTCTGATAGATTAAATTGGTAATCACATACTTTACCTTCAGATGATTTATGTATGGAGAATGCTATCATATTGTATAGATTTTAAAGATATCCATTGGTAATTGATCCATCAGGATAAGCTTTGTCCTATATCTCATCATTATATAAAGATAAGAAATTAGCTAGAACTTCATTTACAGATGAATCATTTTTAAAGACTTTGGAAACATGTTTAAGATTCGGTTGTCCTTTATTAGTATAAGATGTAGAAAAGGTAGATCCAATTTTGAATTCCGTTCTTAATAATGAAACATATAAGACAGGTGGTAGAGTATTAATTAGAGTTGGAAATTAGGAAATAGATTTTTCATAAGGTTTTACAATGTTTATGATAACCAGAGATAGTACAGCTAGATTCACTCCTGATTTGTGTAGTAGAGTTACTTTTGTTAATTTTACAGTCACTTAAAGTAGTTTATAAGAATAATGTTTGAATATATTCTTGAGAAATGAATCACCAGAAACAGAAGAAAAGAGATTGAATTTAATGAAATTATAAGGAGAGTATATAGTTAAATTGAGAGAGTTAGAAGATTAGTTGTTAGATTCATTAAATAATAGCAGAGGATCCATATTGGAAGATGAAAAGGTTATATAAACTTTAGAGAAATTAAAGAAAGAAGCTGCTGTCATTGTATAAGAAATGAAGTAAGCTGATACAATTATGAATGAAGTCATGAATACAACACATTCATATGTTCCTTTAGCCAGTACGACTTCAAAGATTTTCTTTAGTTTGACTTCTTTAGCAAATATACATTATTTGTATTAATTTTCTTTGTAATTCTTTATGGACACAATTTACAATGTTTTAAATAAAAATGATTAATTGTAAAAGATTCCAAAGTAAGATTTGATAAAGAGAAGAATTCTGATATTTAATGAAATGTTTAAAGAAATATATAAAAGAATGAACTTTTCATTGTTATAAGAAGATAAGTTAGTGTTTGCAATAACTTTAGCTTAAGTGAAATTGGGAGATAATAATCTAGGTTAAGAATTCTTGAATGTATTTAAACCACCTACAGTTATGGAAACTTCATTATCAAATAATATATTATAAGGAAAGATGAGTATTTAATAATTGAAATAATTGGAAGGAATAACTTAATAGAATGCAACATTTAATAGATTAATGGATAATTTAAATAATAATTAAGATCGTTGGATAAATTTTTTAAATGATGAAGTTCCTGAGAATGATATCCCAACATAATGGTATAATGAAGTATAAAGAGATGATTTAGTGAAATTAGATTGGGTAGATAGTAAATAATTAAAGAGATAATTGGATGATTTGCATATTCTAAGAATATTTAGAGCAGATAGATTCTAAATAATGGCTAGAAAATTGATTAATTAAATATTAGGAGATGGTTTTATGGATGAGTAGACAGTAGATATGAAATTGGTTGTAGAAAAAGAAGCATCAAATAAAATTCCAATTCTTTTATGTTCAGCTCCAGGATTTGATCCATCATTCAAAGTTGAATAATTAAGTAGAGAAATGGGTATAAAATTGAGTAGTGTTGCTATAGGTAGTGCAGAAGGATTTGATTAAGCTGAATAAGCAATTACATAAAGTGTTAAATCAGGATCTTGGGTAATGTTGAAGAATGTTCATTTAGCTACTAGTTGGCTTAATGATTTAGAAAAGAAATTATTTAGATTAACTCCAAATCCTAATTTTAGAATATTTTTAACAATGGAATTTAATCCAAAAATACCAACTACTTTAATTAGATAATCTTATAAATTAGTTTTTGAACCACCTGATGGTATTAAGGCATCATTAATTAGAACTTTTAAAACTGTTTTATCCTAATAAAGAACTGATAAATAACCTGTTGAAAGAGCTAGATTACATTTCTTATTAGCTTGGTTACATGCTGTTATTTTGGAAAGATTAAGATTCACTCCTATTGGATGGAGTAAAACATATGAATTCAATGAAGCTGATTAAAGATGTTCATTAGATTTAATTGATGAATATGTTGATGCATTAGGAATTAGATAAAATATAGATCCATCTAAATTACCTTGGGATGCTTTTAGAACTATATTGACATAAAATTTATATGGTGGTAAAGTAGACAATGAATATGATTAAAAGATTCTATAATCATTGGTTGAATAATTCTTTACTGAATCAAGTTTCAATCATAATCATCCACTATTTTTCACATTAGAAGGAAAAGAAGCTATTACAGTTCCAGAAGGTAGAACATATATGGATTTTATGTAATGGATTGAAAAATTGCCAAAAACAGAAAGTCCAGAATGGTCAGGATTACCTTCTAATGTAGAAAGAGTATAAAGAGATTAATTAACTCAAAAATTAATTACAAAAGTTTAAAATCTATAATAAGAAGGAGAAGAAGAAATTACTTAAATTGAAGTTTAAACAGAGAAAACTTAAAAGAAAGAAAATAAGAAATCTGATTAAGTTCAATGGCTTTAAGATCTTTTAGAAAAAGTAGAAAAATTCAAAGTTATTTTACCTTAAAAAATATTACCTTTAGAAAGAACTGCTGATTCTATTAATGATCCATTATTTAGATTTTTAGATAGAGAAATTACTGTTGCATCTAAATTATTAAAAGCTGTAAGATAGAATATTGAAGAATTAACATAATTAGCATAAGGCAAAATCTTAGCGACAAATTTATTAAGATAATTAGCCAAAGATGTTTTTAACAATATTATACCATCATAATGGAATAAATATAATGTTATTACAATGCCTTTGAATGATTGGGTTGGTGATTTTAAAAGAAGAATAGATTAATTTAATCATTTAGGAAAAACTAAAAACTTTTAGTAAGGTAATGTATGGTTTGGAGGATTACTATTTCCAGAAGCTTATTTAACAGCAACTAGATAATATGTAGCTTAAAGAAATCAATGGTCCTTAGAAGAATTAGAACTATTGATTGTTCCTGAACATTTAGGAGTTGATGATGATTCTTTTGTTATTGAGGGTGTCTCTATGGAAGGAGGACATTTGGATTCCAAAACTTTACAAGTCTCCATTGTTAATGAAATATCCTTTGCATTAAAACCTATCATCTTAAAATGGTCAAAGACATCCCAAAAAGGAGTTATTGCTGATGATGAAATAGTTTTGCCTGTCTATTTGAATAAAACAAGGAAGAATCTTATATTCTCCCTTAAAGTCAAAATGGGCAGACTTAATAGATATACTCTCTATCAGAAGGGACTATCATTTATCCTCTTCAATTGAAAGATAGCAAATGAGATATCATATTAAATAAATATATTATTTTATCATTCTAATGAGTTTACTAATATTATATGAGAAATATTTCAAATAATATATTTCTGTCATAAAATTAACTAGAATTTCTAGTTTTATTTTTGCATAAAGTTATCCTACCTACTAAATCTATTTTAAATATTTATTATGTTCTCTATACTCTCTCTACACTCATTTCCTTATTTTTTAAAATGGAATATTTATTATTTAAGTTTTATTTTTTCAATGAAAATGATTTAAAAGCAAAGTTTACTAAGGAAATGTCAAAGTAATTTAACA